CCATACTGCTTTGAAGAGCATTAATCGATGATTCCAAATCTGCTTTCCAAATCTGCCAAGCGCCTCTGGACGCCGAGTTATGCTCGTTTTTCGGGTCAAAAAATTGAACGCAAAACTGAAGCAAAATTGCCCAAATTTGCTCAAATGGTCCAATGTCGAGTATCAGAGCTGTTTATGCAATGGATACATTTTATTTTATATGCTAATACTTAGCATTACTTTATCTGAGCGCTGGAAAGATTGTAACAATCAATTTTACCTAAATTCTCATTCATTTTTCGTTCCGAAAAACGGTCATAACTCCAGAAGCGCTTGGCAGATTTGGAAAGCTGATTTGGAATCACCGCTTAATACTCTTCAAAGCAGTATGGGTCTCATTTGGAAAGGCCACTTCGACTCAACGCGGTTCCCTTGTGAGTTCATCCCAGGCTCCGTGCCTTCAAAGGCAAGAGTCAAAAAAATAGTCAGTTTTCCTGAAAATACGCAAGTGAGTGAGGAGTTTTGTACTACAAAGCTTAAGCCCTCTCCCCTCTCTAACAATGTTAGATATATTTTCATACATCTCCCTTTTCAGAAATTTTAAAGGCAGCGTCCAGGCAAGTCTGGACCTATGGGGATTTTACGTGGAAAGTAATTTTGGGCCCCTAGCTAAGCCACTGCCCAATCGGCAGCTCAGGTAGTGCCCTAACGCCTGAGATATTCTCCTCGAAACTGTTGTTTCGCATGGATTCATGGCGCAAAGCGTGGATCCTGGCGCGAAACTGCCATGAATCCATGCGAATACGTTCGCGGGGGCCAGTTTCGAGGGGAATATCTCAGCCATTAGAGCACTACCTGAGCTGCTGCTTGGGCAGTGCCTTAGTTAGGGCCCCAAAAGTACTTTCCACGTAAAAGCCCCATAGGTCCAGATCTGCCTGGACGCTGCCTTTAATCCCCTTTGACCTACCGACTTAGGAGAAGATGAAGACAAGAAAATTCATAGTCTGAAAGAAAAAAAAACGTGAGATAAGAATGAAAATTCAAAGTGGAGCGGGATACCACGCACGCGTAAGAGTTTGGCACTGGAGCGGGCATCTAACAAAACGATTTATGAAGAAATTAAAGCAAAAGACAAAGGAAAGGCAATGATATCAAATTGTTATCATGCTCAGGAATAGACTTTTGACCGGAAAATCCGCCCTTGATAGAAAAATCCGAAACTATGTAAACTCAGAAAAATATACGCTTTGAACACAAACTTATTTTGGAAGGTAATACTCCACATAAGTTTCCAAAATTCTTCACATGATTCTTCTGTAAATAATATTCTATATCTACAGTTCAGATTTGTTGTCATATGCTTGTTTCTACGCTGTAAACGGGCAAATTGTCAATTTTAGCTTTGCTTTCAAATCGCGCGCGCTTTTCGCAAGACACGATAGAGCACGTCTATCAATAATAACCTGTCTTCAAAGCTTGTGCCTGACTTGATCGCTTTTGGCACTATAGGAAGTTTATTGAATTGTCTTGCATACTGTATGTGCAATTTCCTTCAGGAACTTCGCTAGTAATGCGTATACACAATTTTTTTTTCGGGGCTTCGCTCCGGACCCCGTAAAAACGATATCCTCTTTGCTGTGTGTCCCAAAAACTAAGTTCAGCTTGCTTCCAGACGATCTATGCCAAGACTTGGCTTAGGAAATCTCCATTTCCCCTTGAGTTGCTCACAAGAAAGATAAAACGCCAATTAGCACGTGTGCGTGATGTTAGTGAAAATATAAGCTAAAGGCTGTAGGCTCTTAATGCTAGCTGTAACTTTTTGGAGGAGAGATGAGCAAAAAGTGCGAGATGCGAACCTCCACCCAGAATTTTGTCTTTACACGAACGCCGGATGGTATAACAAGTGAGATAATCGTTGGGGGCAGGCGGTCATGCAATTTATGGGCGGGCGGACACCGTAAAAATAGTTCGCTGATTTTTTGCGGTCCGCTTGCAGATATATGGAAGAATTTTAACGAAAATTTAGACGAATGCTTGGAGAACAATCGCGGTGTGCTTATAGATTAGCTGCGGCGCAGTGGCCGCATTTTGCCTATTCTAGCGGACTTTTCGCGAGAATAGGCAAACATTTCGAGAGCCGCACGGTCCTTTGTGGAGGACCGCGCAGTCCCCAGGTACTTTCCGCTGAGAGAAAGTACCTCATACTTGAGTAATTAAACCAACGGTGACACCTCTGCCACTTAGAGGCCCGTAGTAAACTCCTCGTCAGCACATCTCCTCCGAGGCGGCCCTAGATTGGCCTTACGGCGTTTCAGCGCGGTGTCAAGCGAGCCATCGATCCGGATGCGGATCGAATTGTAGGCATGATAGAAAACTGCATGTTCTTAAAAAAAGCAGCTCTGGAGATTGTGCAGGTTTGGTCAAATGGCTAAAGCTAGTGTAATACACGCGGTGGCAAAAGGGTTCGCGCCCGGCAGGTGCCGGCATTTTTGGTATATCGCCGGGCAATCTTTGATAGCAGCCACTATCAAAAAAATCTATGGTGGGCGCTGTCTTTGCTGCTTTAACAAAAACATGACACCCTTAACACCCATAAAAAATCATGATTTTTAGAAGAAAAAGAGAGAGCTTGATTTCTATTTTGAGCATCCTTTGAAAAGTATGAAAATTTGATCGACATAACCCAACGAAATTTGTAGAAAGTACTTGATACCCCATTTTTGCTGCGATCAGCTGTTCACTGATTATCTCCATCCGTATGCCACACTATTTGTGCAATTTCGGGCACTGTCGTCCGCAGAATCAGCCAGCTGACGTTTCCGTAAGTTACTGACGAGCAACTTACGGGATTTGTGTCTGCGTCTCCTTGCAGACACTCTATCCGTAAGCCAGGCCGACGACGACGGCTTAGCTTAGGGCAGGCAGCGCAGCTCATTGCGGCAGCTGACCGGCCCCTTGGCTGTCAGCTCATCGCCCATTCTTAATGCACTGGAGCAAGGGGGACCGTAAGATCAGCTTACGGATCTCTTCTGAGGGGGTCAGCGCAGATCATCTGAGCTGAGAGGGGCTTTACTACGGGCCAGAGTCTTACCTGTGCCCGGCGTATACCCGAAACTGCTTAAAAAGAGTCCGAGCGCTCGCTGAAAGTTTGGCCAGCGCTCGCTGAAAGAAATTAATTGCCGAGCCCTTGCAGAAAATGCTGCATTGCTGCCCGCTGGCAGGATATGCAGGTTTGGCCACGCCCCAAAATTCTGTTGACCGCTTGCAGAAAAGCGCTAGTTTGCGGACCGCCTGCCCCCGGCGATTGTCTGAGATACGTATCATGTATCAGTGACAGACTGTAGAAGGCATACCCATCCAGGATGGGTCGCCAAGTTTTTGCAACTTAATCACATGAGTTCTAAAAATGTGCAAGTAGCTTGTCTACACTTGTAAATCTTTCTATATACAAAGCAGAAAAATTGTGCATGTGTGTGTCATATATGTGACCCGAAGACGGCACCGTCGCACTCATAATGCTGAAACTTTGCACACATATATTTTCAACAGCGGAGGAAAACATAGGCTGTTTTTGCAGCAATCTACCACGTCCTTGAATCGATTCATCAATTGGTTTACTTACATCTAAGAAAATGAAAGCTTATCGTGTTTTGAACGAGCATTTCTTCCTCATAGTCAAATGCAAGCGGTAAAACTCATGTTAACTCCGAAGATGGCAGGATGCAGTTACGCAAACCGAAGGCTCTTATCTCACGTTTCCTTCTTTGAGACAAGCAACTTTTCTTGTTTTCATCTTCTCCTAAGTCGGTAGTTCAAAGGGAATTTTGTAGAACTTCTGAAAGTAAAAGGAGACTTTGTTTTCAGAAACCCTCGAAACGAACTTGTGCCGGGTCTTGCCCCAAGTGCGCGATCCGTAGTGGCAGGCAAAGCTGTAGCATACTGTAGTGCAAAGCTGCCTTCTGGGCACATAGCTATTACGCATTTGACATTCGAATGTCTTTGGGTATTAAAAATGTGATGCGTATGTGAAATGTGTGCTATGATGCGATTTTATGATAATATAGCGAATTTTCTGGTTTATATGACACTTCAAACGTGTGAAAGTAGGGAAACTACTGGGAACTCAACTGAAGAGTACCAGTTCTCGATTAGTCGTTTTCCAGGTCGCACCATGACGACTGAAACGTCATAATGCACATATTTTGGGAGCTGAAGTTATTTGGCATGTTTTATGTCAAGTACTGTCTTTAATCAATGATGCTATTTCAATCACGTCTATGACATCTAAGATATATTACGCAAATTATTACCTAGTGTCTCTATTCTATCTCGCAATTCCCACACTTCGTGAAGAGGTAGTATTGCTGTTATCCCATTCCACAATGTATTTCAAATGCGATTCACACGGTTAAATGCTCATTCATTGACAGTGACTTGCTTTTCCATCACAAAGAAAATTTGCGTACTTATAGTCACCATACTGAAAGTTTCATGGATCGGGTGTTTTATACCGGGCAAAAGAGAACATTCACGTTTTCAAAATTTAGCATACTCATAGAACCATACTGAAAGTCTCACGGATGGGTGTTTTATACCGGGCAAAAGGAAACATTCATGATTTCAAAAATTAGCATACTCATAGAACCATACTGAAAGTCTCACGGATGGGTGTTTTATACCGGGCAACAGGAAACACCCATTATTTCAAGAAACTGAATCGTTTCATGAGTTTGTAACCTCTGCACTAACTACCAGTATGAGAATTTTATCCAAAAATTCTCTTATATTTTCCATTGTTGAGTTGTATGTTACCTTCTCACCAGATTGTCACGGAAAACCAGCAGAATTTGTTCCAAAAGTTTATCCCGCTTTTAAAATCTTCTCATACGAAGATTGGTGGTTGCAAAACTGCCTCCCATTCGAATCTTGCAGGACAATTTTGACAGCTTTTGCGAAGGCATGTTTTGTCAAGCACCAGACTCACGTGATCTTGTCCATTGACTTGCTCCTGTAACCTACGAATGCAGCGGGTATCTTTCCAATCTAATGCTACTTTCATCACCATGCTCACTTACGTCCTTCCTCCTGTGCCAACTCTTAGCCAGTTGCTCAAAGTTTTGTAAAAATTGATGAAACAATATGGATCGATGACGTAAAGTAGCCTACGATGACCAGCCCACCTCGAAGTGCATGTGCAAATCGGTCCGCATCGATTCAGAAATTCAGTTCTCTATTTGGAACATATATACAGACAGACAAGCATTCGTTTCATACGTGAGATTATTTGAGATGAAATGTAGTAGTAACACAAACTCCGATTGGTAGCCAGTAATCGGCTGATTAACCAGCCTCAAATTGGCATAAATTTTTTTCACAAGAGATTTCTGCAGAAAATTGAACCTACCCAAATTACTTGTGGCAAGACAATGCATTTTTCAAGACTCTCCTACCGAAAGAAATTTTTTGCATACCTCTGATATGGAATGCGCTAGGCTCAGCCTTTCTGTGTAAAGCAAAAATTTCGTGTGTAATGCGATTATGATTTGTGACTTATAAGGACTGTTACGAGAGGTCATGTTATTCTCGATTTTCGCGTACAACAGTGAGATTTTTCGAAGATTATACTTCGATAAGCATAAGGTAGCACAACTTAGCAAGCGGTACGCAAAATTGGAAAACGTCTTTGGTTTGTAAAAATCAAGGGAAAAAAGAAGAGAATCATTTCACACTTGTCTTGTTGCCCATTCAAGGTACAGAATTGCGCTTGAAATAAAGATTCACGAAAAACATAACTTTTACAGAGAATTAAAAAGAAAATTCTTCCTGACGATATAATCAAGTTTACTAAAATTTTCTTCTTCAATACCTACGATTCAATAAAAAGGTTGATCAGCTGGTAAACCTTTGAAATAACCTTGCATGCAAAATTGTGGTATATATGTAAATAAGAAAGAAGTGATGGTCTTTGAAAAATCTTTCTCATATATAAACTGGAAACATCCGGCGCGACGATTGAAACTTCCCTTCGTCTCTTACCCTGACGCCCCTTCGGCGTTGCGGAGGGGAAGTTGTTAAGAGTGCGAGCGCGCGAGACATCCTACTCTCTTGCAGAGGTTTCGGACCGTGGGAAAACGAGAACAACGGTTATCCTTATGACGCAGACAAGCTCGAGACGAAAGATTGATCGCGAAAGTGGGAATTGATCGCACTCTACTCGCATGCGATGACGACATGTGTCTTAAAATCATCGCCACGGGTGCTCCTCTGGTCTCGTCTTCATGAATCATCAACGCTTCGTCCACATCTTCCTTTCAGTATTTCGGTTACCACCAACAAATTTCATTTCACTCAAAATTTAGGTGCGTACTAAATAACTCCTTGAGCCAAAGTACTTCGATACTTGTATCGTGAATTCTCAGCCATCTTTAACTTGTTTCGTGAACTTGCTCATTCAGCAATTTTGAATTTAGGGTCCAATGACATATAGCGAACTCTCACTGCGGATGACTTTTGGAGCAAATATTCTGTTTTCATCACTATCTTCATGAGATTCGGTGAAGACCTCGTTTCGAAGAAATCCACGCCATAGAAAATGCATTTGCTCCCGAAGTTAAGACCCAGCTTGCTTTTGTTTTGGTCAGACCTGTTAGGGGAACGATTATGTTGGTTGTAACCTTGTAACGAAAACAGCAAGCTTCATTAAACAGCTGCGTTCTGGTTGTGGTATTTGGAAGGAAGGATTAGATATTACGATTTTGTGTCTATCTTCAAAGTTTGATGCATCTATTGAGCTTTCATAGAAAAGAGGTGCAAACGCGCTCATAGTCAGATGCAGTTCCAACTAAGCGAATACCAATGTATCTGCCCCGACACACTAACAGCATACAGTCTAACAATCCCCTCCGCAACTTCCAGGCTTGTTCGCGTATCCAGCTACGACCCACTATCTATGTTGGCATTTCTTCACGGCATCTGTAGTTTTGCCAGATTACCTTCTGCTAAATGCGATCCAGCTAATTTTACTTAAGACTATGACCCGGCCGGGTCAAAATCTAAGTACAATCTGCTGAATCATAGACCATGAGATAACCTGTATGAAGAAACCTTGGAATCGTGGAAAAAACCACTGGACTTCACTTGCCGACATGCACACTAGCCTTTTTAACAGAAGGCAGAATAACGCCGCATAAGCTACATGCGGCTGTTTAGATGTGAATCATGTTAAGGAAGAAGAACGGATGGAAAAGATAGAGTGTATTTGCCTACACTGAGCAAACGCTCATACATCTGCACCAGTTACGTTACGTTTATGATTGAGAAATTTACATGAAAGATCGTGAGACAACTAGAAAATTGCTGCCGCTTTCTAAGGGCTCATAGAAGCCGAACTGTGATCTCGCACAAAACACATGATGCTTGCAGTCACTGCAGCCGTGCCGACAAAATGTGAAACGAAATAGAAGCATACCTTTGTTCTGTTAAGGAAATTTGCTATTCGAGCCTGCCCTTGACCATGTTGGTATACTTAGCTAGTGTTGGGCTCCTTTCATGCGTAAACACTGCACTAATTCAAACCGCGAACGAGGTAAGCATGATCTTCGTTCAGATTAGATAGTTAGAAGAACGTATATTCCATCTTCAGGTAGAACATATCTATCATAAAAATAGACAAGTCAGGCAAGGTACCATTTACAGCTTTCTATAACCGAAAGATAAGGACGACATTCCAGCATGCTTTGACAGAGTAAATCCACTTACTGGTATATCGGATTGTCCCAGTAAGGCAGCGCTTTGCGCGAATCCAATATATCAGCAGATAATGTGGGAGCAATGTCCTTTGACATGTGGACGATGTGCCGGGGTTTTGCCAAATTCGGGTGGAGTTATCCCAGTTGTCCCAGGCCAGTCATTCCGAACTTCCTATACTAGTTAACTCGGGTATATGCGATGCTAGATAGCACCGTTGATAATTTTTCAGGTGCAACAGCAACATGCTTCGATCGAGTGGATCCACGTACTGGTGTATCGGATTGTCCCAGCAAGGCAGCGCTTTGCGCAAACCCAGTATATCAAAAGATAATGTGGGAGCAATGTCCACTAACGTGCAAAAGATGTCCTGGCATCCTATAAATCTTCGACATCATTTTGTTATTCCAATGAACCGTTCACCATACAGCTATTGCACAGCTTTACAAATGATATATGTAAAAGTTTTCAAAGAAGCATGCGAACTGACAGCTGCTCACTTCAGATGAAAGTAACCATTTTGTTCCCACTTTGACCGACACGATATCTAGCAAGCTGATCACAAAAATCGTGATCAGCGTGATAAATAATCGTGTTGATTTTGCAAGCAAGCGCGCTAATGTTACAGTGATGGACGGATTGGATCAGAACTCATATCTGGTCAAAACATAGTGCGTTATCATTACGTTATCATTACACACTTAGATCGACCAAAGAGACTCTTTCAGTCGCAACCAAATTATAGCTGTAGTTAGGATGCTGATGCTCTCCCTCTTACACAAAAAGCAGAGATCTTTACTCATCTACTATTTAGATACCCACCAACAACACATAAAGGCGTTTTTGTGTGAGAAACGTGAGATATTAGTGAAGATCGCGTGATGAAACTCATAGACTAAGTTTGAGAGAAATCACGACTCTGAAATTTGCTGCCCAATTTTGAAGTAGCTAAATAGCCCCTCTTTTATTAGAAAAAACTAGGAGCATGACGTCAAATGATAAAAGCGGAAGTAGGCGCAAGTGAAGTGTGAAATAAACACTTACAAGGGAAATATTTGGTGACCGTGCAGTTTTAATAAAACACATCACCAGGTGCGCCTTAGAACGCTAATTTCAACTGCTTTCGCTTTTTGCTAAGCTGTCCGAAATAACTTTTGAACGCTTTTCCATAAGAATTTGCACCGTTTTAGTCAATCAAAACTTTGAACATCGCTCTAATTCTTTATTTTCCCCTTCCAAAAATCATTTGAAGAATTATTCTGAGTTTGGATATCTAATAGTTGCGTTTACTCTTAAAAACGTGATTATCTATGGTTTTGTTTATGCTTTAGTGTGCAAATATAATGCGGAAAAAAAGCACGTAACTTATTTCAGACAGCTTGCAGATAGCTAAAGCAGAATTGTAATAAGATTCCAAGGGCATTTAATGTGTCTCATTACCAATGGCCACGGCCACCAAGTATCCATCCCTTGATTCGCGGTCCAACGTGTTAAGAACTCCAGATTCCAAGATTGTTTCCCTTTACAACTTTCCTTCGCTATCGCATCTCTACTTTTCGTGCGATTAACGCTGACCTTAAAGGCAGTTTCCTATCAAAATTTGGGTCTTGGGATTTTCGCGGAATACAAGTCTTTTCGCCTTGCATGATCGTATAAGAGCTCTAATTTGCGCAAAAAAACCCAGTGACCCGTTTTCTAAAGCCAGCATGGAAGCAACGCAGACGAGCTTACCCGCTGCACTCTAGTCTTGGCCACAGGGTTGAACACGTCAAGAATGATGTTGTCGCTTAGAAAGATGTGTTAAAACGCGACTGGGAAACGGACAAGTCGTTTAAAGCGCACCAAAATGCGCTCTGGGAGCCACTTTAAGCCTAAATTTCTCAGTGTAAAAACGGCCTTACTGACTGGGACTCGGGCATTGGCCTAGTAAAGCGTCCCCTATGAACTGCGTAGGAATATGATATACCCCATATGGTGAGACACTGCCTTTAAAGTTTGCTGCGGTTTTAGTATAAGTTCTTCTAGTTTGCCGCATCTCGGAACGCTTGAAGGCACCGTCCACCCTAAGTTGAGGGTGTTGAGCTTTTGGCAGCATATAATAGTAGAGCCCCCTACCAACCCAATGCCCAAGTCGCGGCGTAAAGTACCGCTTCGGAAGCGAGAAAATAGCTTCGGAATAGCGAAGATGCACGAGGACCCCCATCTATGTCCGCCCTCCCCCATCCATGCCCGCCCACTTGTGCGCGCCTATCCAATCACCGTTCTCGAAAGCCGGCCTGTGGGTTCTCCGGAAAGGGGATAGTCGGCGTTTTTGCGCATTCTCGACTTCATATTCGGAATCAGGGACATGAGAAGGTCCTGAAACCACCAAAACGTGGAAGTCGAAAATCTGGGTGAACGGTGCCTTTAAGATCTGCTAAAATGGAGTCCTTGCAGAGCTCCTTTTTCTATTAGGTTGTGTAATAAGTTCGTTCGCATTTTTTGTTGCAGTTGTTCTCATTATTTCGCAGAGAATCTGGCAAAATGTTTGTAAGCTTTCGGAAGCTGAAGTCTGCTCTGCCAGAATGCTCTCATTATTTTGACATTTTTTTTATAAATTGAATGGAAAATTCGATTACAAACCAGAAAATTCGAGAAGGCGAAAATTCCATTTTCGAGAACTATGTTACGCTACGTCTCGAATAGCATTGTACGCTTAGAAAAAGCTTGAAAAATTTGCGACATGTGGGAATAGATGCATAACTCCTGCAAGCTACTTACAAATGCCAAAAATGTTATGAAAATCCATATTAGAAGCTCAAAGATAAGCTCGCTCTTTGCGGTTTCCTCGGCGCTAACGTTGGGCATCTGAAGGCACCTTGAGAGAAGAGGGGTCGTCGAACATAACAAAAGTGCTAGGCAAGGGATTCTTTGATCATAAATTATGGAATATATGGGTTACTTACTCCAAAATCCTATCTTTGTAGACCAAAAACGACAAACGCCTTTGCGGCAAAGTCTTACTCCGCCAACTTTTGCAAAAATGGCATTAAACGGTCGGAAAAGGAAGTGGGCAAGCATAAACAGTGCCAGTAAGTGCATAAGTGATTAGTCTGTTGTTTCTAATTGTTTTTAGGCTTTGAAGAATTTTTAGCAATGATTAACTGGAAAAACTAAGCGAGAAAAAGATGTCGAAAATGGAATTTTCGCCTTTTCGGATTTTTCAATTTACAGTCAAAATTTTCGAACAGCTTCTCAAAAACTGAGGAAATATGAAAGTAGTATGATAGAGCAAACTTACTGTTAGAGCTTTCGAACGCATACAAACATCTCTCCAAATGCTTTGCAGAATATTGAGAAAAAGCTAAAACAAAAAATGCGAACGAATTTATTGCACAACCTAATACTTTTCAATTCTGATGCGATTTTCTCCTACATTCGATATTACTTTCTATGTGGTGTGTCAACGTCTCACACTTCTCAATCATGAAATAAACTCGCTAAAATTGTTGTGATTGCTTCAGAAACAAGCGAGAAAATTGGGCCGCAGCCGACTTTTCGTGCAAGTTTTTAGGGACATTGTAGCAGCGCACGAAAAGGGAGACGCGATAACGAAAGAAACACCTTGAGGAAAACAAGTTGTCTCCAGAAGACTGCGCGCATTCTTGAGGAACTTCATGCACTTTTCGCACTCATCAGGTTACAGAGGCAGCAAGCGTCGCATGCGATACTTTTCACAACAAGCTTCAACTGTCATTTTGATTGTAGTGAGATGAACAGAAGATGCACCGCAAAAATGTTTTTGGTTGCGACTTGCGCGCAAACCTTCAACAGTGCTTTTACGCTTTGTTTACGGTTAGATTTTCAGTATTTCTTAACATAATGTATCCAAAGATACCGGTGGTCCAGTCAAGTTGCACTTTGAATGTGAATTAATACACTAAAATAAAGGTGGTATCGCGAGCATAGTTCGTGCGTGTTCAGCTGCCAGGCGATTTCGCGATTTACGTAGGTGCCTTGAAACCAACCGTTATAGGCTATAAAGCGATAGTGTGTATAACCAAGGTAAGCTTATGAAATGCCGTATCTTTTGTAGATTTATGCGTTTGAGCTATAAACAATTGGAATATTGCCAAACCGCGGGTGACTGAAATCGCTTTAAGTTTGCACAAAGGTCCACACTGATATTTTGTACTCCGGTCGTCAAAAGCAATTAGGCAAGGCTTTTCTAAGACTCCCGAGTAAAGCGCTTGCTTACCGAAAGCTATAGAGTGAAAATGCCGACGAAATTCTGTGACACGTTTGCCATTGGTTTGCACAGAATATTTGTTCGCGCAGTAGGGGCAATCGTACGCACGATGTATGCGAACCGAAATTGTGAACAATGAAATGGGTTCTTCAAGTCACAAACAGTCCCATATCCTTTATTGAGTGGATTTATTAGCATTAGCTTATATTATACTGAACTTAGTACTTCATGCCGCTGAGCAAACAGTTACTACGTGGTACTTTTCCGTTGTTGATCATCTTTGTCGGTTGTACATATAGCCGATGAGGGTATGCACCACTACTTGCCACAGTTACTATTCGAGTAACCGAACCATGCTAGTATTTCTGTTTCTTATACCCGCTGTAGTGGCTCCTGTAAGTCACAAGCAATAATTTGACCTCATCTAACAATAAGCTAATATTTTTATGTTAAGAGATCACCATCATATCATCAGTTTTCTGAAGAAATTAGAAAATGCAGTGGATTAGATGAAGATGATGACGAATTGAATACGGAATTGATGGATGCATCCAACATGGTCAGTTTTTATAAATCAATGCGGCTAGTGCATTGTCATGCAGGTTATACAATCAAAAGGCTGATAATCAAGAAACATGAAACACACAGAGAGTTTTAGAAGTATATATTCAACTGTTCCTGATATCCTATTGCATCAATGTCTCTATTCTATTTTTTTGCCATTCTGTAAATTTGCCCTTCAACTAACTTACAACATGGAAAATATAGGTGGCTCTTTTTTTACTTAGAATTACAGTAGGAAGTCAATTAACTACAGTCGCTTCATTTCATATGATCATGTGTGTCATTGCACAAGCAGTTCACCTTTGGCGTCCCCATCCTGGATTCGTGGGAGAAACAAGCCTTCAGGTAAGTGTTTCCAAGGTGTTCTTAGCATTATCTTTCCTTTTTAGTTACTGGTCACCTCAAATTTATGTAATCGATAACAATCGGTAAGTCTCTTGCGTTTTTGCGATTGCAAATCCAGGATGAGGACGCCAAAGTGGACTGTTTGTGCAATGGCACACATGATCACATGAAATGAAACGACTGTATTTAAGTTGTTGTCTAAAAATTTTACAAAAAAATTGTGCAGCAGGGTAATTGGCAATCACTC